AACCCTTCCAGGGACGGTGCCCCCCCCACGGCCCTGGGCAGCCTGTTCCAATGCCTGAACACCCTCTCCGTGAAGGAATTGTTCCTAATCTCCAGTCTAAACCTCCCCTGGCGCAGCTTGAGGCCATTTTCTCTTGTCCTAACACATGTTACTTGGGAAAAGAGACCACCCTCCACCTCACTACAACCTCCTTTCAGGTAGCTGTAGAGCGTGATAGGTCCCCCCCTGAGCCTTCTCTTCTCCAGACTAAACCCCACCTAGGTCCCTCAGCCGTTCTCCATCACACTTGTGCTCCAGCCCCTTCAGCAGCTCCATTGCCCTTCTCTGGCCCTGCTCCAGCACCTCAATGTCTCTCTTGTAGTGAGGGGCCCAGAACTGAACACAGGATTCAAGGTGCAGCCTCCCCAGTGCCCAGTACAGGGGGATGATCACTGCCCTGGCCCTGCTGGCCACTAGTGCTGATACAGGCCAGCAGCCCGTCTGATTACAGGCCAGGATGCTGTTGGCTTCGTGGCTGCCTGGGCAGAAGCAGGCTCACATTCAGCGCCATCAATCAGCACCCCCAGGTCCTTTTCAATGAGCAACTTTCAAGGAAGGACCAGAAGGCTCAATACAGCTGCATCCTCTTTTGTCCCTGACTTGCAAGGATATTTATTCCAAAAAAGGGCTACCCAGTGTCCCTACATACCTGGGTCCTAAAGAACCCTCATCCTTCAAAATAGCCTTGAAAATGCTGAGGCTTGTGTTTGCTCTGTTAAGCTCAGTACAAAGCTCTTGCTCCATCTTTGACTGGGTGACAGACTTAATCCACGTGATCCACTAGCTTTAATAATGTCATGGTCACTAAGGGAGAGGAGCAAGGGAAAACAAGGGACTTCTACTGCTGCTACTTGCACTCGTCCTGACTGTTAATCAGATGCTGTGACACAGCTCTATCTCCTCCCAGACACAGAAGAATTTCATTAATTTGAAAGGAAATTCATCATTGTGGCAGTTATCAAATTAGTGCTTTATAAGAGTATCTTTCAATTCTCAGTTAAATTGCAATAGAGTGAATTTTGCACACTGAGGACATAGTAACTTGCTGAAAACTCCATCCACAAATAAAATACAGGCTCAGACAGCCCTTGAAGCCTGGCAAGTACAGTAGCATTCAAAACTGACATGCTCACTTGCTAAAGGAGCAGATAATCAGCAAGCACTCATAAAAAAAATCCTGCTTACTGTTTCATGATCAAGTATTATCTGAAAATATAAAGACATAATCAGATCACACTGCCTTTCTTGCAGAAGTATATACATTCATTAACCTTTTCATCTACGAGATAATGAAACCGTTGTTGTAATAATGAGAAGTAATACTGTCAGTGGCGATGGGACATCCTGAAAGCCATTTCACATCCTTTCTACCAGCAGCCATCACCCAGAAATTAGGTGAGACATATAAATACAGTTCAATGTTGAAGCCTCTCCAGTGAAAAGCTCAACCAAGAGTAAATGAGATGACAAGTTTCACCAGACCATATCACACAGCTACAAGACATTACCCAGAAATAATGTTTTCCTCAGCCTCTTTTTTAACAGTGCCTGTTAAACTTCAAATGTTTGTTGCATCTGAGCCTCACCACTCAACAGTCTTTTAGACAGATTTGCATTTAAATACCACGTGAAGAGGAAACACAACTATTTTTTGTGCCTTCATTTCTGCCTACTTGAAAGCATGTTACCATGGAAAAGTATATGAACTTCAATTCACCGATACAGTGAATAGACTTCTAAGTCTATAAACCCTGTGAAACCGTATTAATACAATCAAATATAGAAGTGAACCTTCAAAGAGCACAAATTCTGCTGATTCATTTTTCTAATAGCAAGATTTCACTATAGGCAAACACTTACTACAGTCATAATTATTGTAACACATATGAACAAACTTGAACTGTTCCTCCTTCACCATTAAGTCTGGGTTGCCGAGAGCTGTCTACAACCACAGCCAGGAGAATTAGGCATGCAAATTTCCCCAGGGGAAGCCCAGAGCCCTGGTTCACTTTGGAAAAGGGTGGAGTTCTTCAGTCCACATTCTATGAAGGATTCAAATCCATCAGGATTTGACCCTGGCAGGGAGATGTCAGTGGTCAAAATCTTCCCGTTTTTTCCCTTCCCGAGCAGACATCACTTTATGTTATCATTAAAGTATTTGGCCAACTACAACCAAAGCTGCAGCTCAGCATCAGGACTCACTAGCTTGAAAAGCCTTCATCTGTGCAGGCAGATTACCAGCTACAAGATTAAATTCAGGCCTGCAGCACTAAATATCAAGCCCATCCCATGAGGATGTAATGCAAAATCCCTGTTTATTGCAATTCTCATGTCTCTATTACAGACTCCTCCCACATCCTGTGGAAAGGCTCATATATTCCACGAGACCTCCACTTCTGCGTTTTCATTTCCTCCACTGGCTTTCACGCTCTTTAAACCTACTTCTCCCACAGGCATAATGCTGCCACACCACTGTGTAAGCTGCATTGGCCAGGGCTCTGAAAGGCTCTGCGTGGTTGCACCAGCAAACGTGCCCCAAACCCTGTCCCTAGGCAATGCTACACCATCACCACCACATCAGCACTGCGTCCTCTGCACACAGCAGCTCAACAGCCGCCCCTGGCACTGCACATACCTCACCTCAGTCTGCACAACCCTGAGAGCAAAATGACTACAGGGGCCCACGTACACATATGATGCTGTGCAGTCAAAATACCAACATACTTCTCAAGCACCTACTCTACAATCCCCAGCCATAGCAGTAAGATGAATAGAGCCAGCTCTAGCAGGGATGAAAATCATTGTCTTTAAGCATAAATCACCCGGCCAGCAAGGCATGAATGAACTCATTGCCACAGCAGCTCTTAGGGGGAAAGGCTCTCCCCAGGGATAACATGAATTTTGCAGATAATTCTCATCTGGCAGTAGCTGGATCCATCCTAGAGTCCTGGAGTAGTTCCCTGGATGTCTCCTATCACTCTATTCCTCAGTTGCAGGTACTCTGGTTTCCTAATCTGATTATAATGGTATTCTCTAGCCCTAAAACAAATCTTGGTTTTAGGCCACACAAACAAATCAGAAGGGTCAGTGTGTATTTTTCAAAGGAATTAATTAAGGAGACTCCCTTCAAAGCAAACAGACAAAGCTCTCTAAAGCCTGCTCTGCATTTGCTCCCACCACAGCTAAAACCATTCCATCTTGTCCAAACTCCTTGGTCATAGCAGGTAAGTTACAACTAGTAAGAGATACTAGCTGCAAAGGGGAAGACCTCAATCAATTCCCTTGGTTACAGCATAGAACCATGGAATAGTTAGGGTTGGAAAGGACCTTAAGATCATCTAGTTCCAACCCCCCCTGCCATGGGCAGGGACACCTCGCACTAAACCATGTCACCCAAGGCTCTGTCCAGCATTAAGCACTTCATTCCCCAGCAAGGCCACAGACACAGCTGGGCTGCTTGTGGAATAATGACTGCAAGGAAGGATGCGGAACAAAAGCATAAATAAGGAAAATGACAGCAAGTGGCCACAGTGACGTACGAATATCACATCCACACCTTCCTCTGCTGATGTACTGAGGAATTATGATTTAAAACAGGCATGACACTATGGCCCAAAATGTTCTTTAATGCTATTCATTTATGTAAAGACACAACAATTAATTAACTAAAGTAAGAAAATCTTTGGAACGGCAAAGATGACCCTCAGAGCAGTATCCAGTGCTTTCTGTTACATACATTGTCATGGCTCCAACACACTGGCAAAAATGCTAATTCTTCTTTAACACCCTTATTTCCCTGCAGATCTCTATTTACATTAAGGAAAACAGATCTAGTTTTTTATATGCTAAACCAGTGAAGCAAATTGTCCTGAAAAAGAATGGTGGGTTCTGCTGAGCATGTAAATATATGGAAAGAGATATGAACTCCTGACAAACTGGCAAAATCCCCATTTTTTGCATTGAGTAACATGAAAAAAACCAACTCCAGTAAGATTTCTGAAACTCTCAAGAAGGATTAAAAGAAGCTGAAGTCAGTAAAATATTCAAGCAGGCAGAAAGCAAAGTAAGTAAGGCATTTGTTGGCTTTAATTATGATCAATAAAAACTGTCAGCTCATTAGCATATCATTAGCTACCCTGCTGCTTCCAGAGTGTTAACACGTAGAAATATTAATTTACAAACAAAGACTATCCCAGAGTTGTGAGGCTCTGACTGCAGAAAGTACAAATTTAAGATGGGCGAATCCAATAGAACTTCTTTTTTTTGCCCTATGGAGCAATAAACAGATGTTTGCCATCTGTGGGATTATGGGAAGCAGCTGAGGTAAAAAACCAACAGCTGTAGAATAAAATAATATCATGGATTTCACTCACAGTGACAGCTCAGCTGCTGGAGGATGGAATGGACTCCAGGCTCAAAGCAACTCTCAGACCCTCACTTAGGCTAAAAGTTACCTTTTACCTTGGTTTTACCAGTAAAACTGTTAGTTGCTGTGTTAAAAGAACATAAGCATAAAATAATTGTTCCTACTGTTGAAATCTGAGGGCTTTGAGGAGAGCTCCTCAGAAAAACAGCAACTTGGAAAATTGCCTCATGAGCTGACAGCTCCAAGGGGAAACGGAGTGGGTGGTAAATCACCCTGGCAACAAATCCATGCCAGTACCGAGGCTGGGCAGATCAGCCATCGCTGCACTAGAGACTCTCACTGAGCAATGCTGGCGCTGTGGCTTGGTGCACAGAATGGGAACAAACATCAGAAACTTTTCTATAGCTTGCTCACAAATTAAAAGAATTAATTTCCAGGTGGAGGGGGTGTGTTGTGTTGGTGGATTTTGTTTCTTCATTGGTTCAGCAATTCAGCCTCGACCAGAAAAGTATGCAGTGATTGAAAGAAAACATACAGGACAGAACTTTTCAAGCTGGAGGTCACTTCTCTGTCCTTTTCACTTTGGAAATATATTGCCATTACCTGAATCCTCTCTTTCTTCTGGAAAGTTCCTCATGCCCATACTGGCCTACTCGATGATGATTTGGGGAGTCTTGTAGAAGGAAAAAGTCAGGGTTTCCAGCTAGAAGGTAGGAACAGCCCAAGTCCCACCAGCCAGCCAGCCTCACAGATGAGGCTGTTTGGAAGCAGTGGAAGCTCCAAAGGACAAAGAAACTCATGAACAAAACTCAGTAACCCACTATTCACTCTCAATCGAGAAACACAGTGACACACTTAGCTGAGAAAAACAGAAAGAAAGGAAGGAAAGTACTCCAGGAACAGAAAAATCTACTGCTTTGCAGCAAAGCAAATGCACTGTGTACAATAGCTGGTATCTGCCAAAGCTGGAAGGTTTGCAGGCCAGCAGACCTCTGCTCTAAAAGTCAATACTGACAGGGGCAAACAAGCAAGAGTAATCTGAGGCAAACAGCAGAAGTGTGAGAGTATTCTGGATATGAAATCAAGGAGGAAATGCCCACCAAAAGTGATTAAATTCACCACACTCTGTCCTGGGTTCAGCTCCAGCAGTCATCCAGCAGTCTCCTCCTTAGTAGCTGGTGCAGGGCTGTGGTTTTGACTTTCAGCCTGGGAACAACGCTGATAACACCGATGGTTTTAGTTGTTGCTCAGTGATGTTTACTCTGACCAAGGACTTTCTCAGTCTCATGCTCTGCCAGGGAGGAGGGGAAGCCGGGAGGAAGCAGAGACAGGACACCTGACCCAAACTGCCCAAAGGGCTATTCCACACCACAGCACGTCATGGCCAGTATAGAAACTGGGGGGAGTCACCCAGAAGGCCCAGATCGCTGCTCGGGTCGGGCTGGGTATCGGTCGGCGGGTGGTGAGCGGTTGTGTCCTCTCCCCTTGTTATTTCCCTTATCATCATCATTATTACTGGTGGCAGCAGCAGTGGTTTGTATTATACCTTAGCTACTGGACTGCTCTTATCTCAACCCGTGGGAGTTACATCCCTCCAATTCTCCTCCCCATCCCTCCGGGAGCGGGGAAAGGAAGAAGGAGGGGAGTGAGCGAGCAGCTGCGTGGTTCCAAGTTACCTGCTGGGCTTAAACCACAACACTCTCTCAGCAGGAGACCACAGCAAAGGTTTAAAGGCGAAAGCCAAGAATAGACTCTGGCTCTCCTTGGGCAGTGTCATTCTGTCCCAAGAAGTGGCAAGGCAGAGCACAGCAAGCAGATGAAACCTCCATGAAGGAAACCAAACAAAACCCCCAAATACTGGGCACTGCATCAGTGATTACACTGCTCTCAAGCCTTTTCTCCAAACGTTGGACCTGTCTCAAACCCCAAGTCCACAGTTTCTACTAAAATTCATACAAATCAGATTTCAGGAGCCTAAGACAAATAAACAGAAACATCCTGTGGACTATTTATTGATTCCTTCTTCATGTGCCATTTTCTATCTGCTTACCTTAAAGAAACCATGTTTCCTGTTTCTCTGTCCAAGCCATATACTGCTTTCCGGTGCCAAATCCGTTTCTGGGGGATCAATAACACGTTCATAAATCCTGTAGAGGAAACACATTGCCATTACTCCAATCTTCTTTTTCCTCTGAAGAATTCCTAGTCACAATCAGTTAACAGTAAAAGATGGAAAGTAATACCAAAACAAAAAACTGGATTTTTCATTAAACACAGTATTTATCATTGACGGTTAGGAAGTTATATTGCAACTTATAAAGCAAAAAGGAAAAAAAACTATTAAACCTATCCATTCTGGAAAAACGGTGCACACCTTTCCAAGACCCAACCAGAGAAACAACCCTTTGAGGTTTTCAGACTGTTTAGGATTTGGAATAAACTTCACAAGGAACCTTTATTCTATCTCTCCTCCCACACCGTTTTTCTTTCTACATTTGCACCCAGACCTTTGTTTTATCCACCAGAGAGATTTTATCCACCTCTCCTGCTTGCTACTATCACTGCATTCATTCAGCCTGGGTCCTCTAGTGTGGTGCCACTACAGCACATCCAGCTTGCCCATGTCACCAGCACAGGTCTGCTACAGAATGGGACCTCTGCAACCAAGAGCCATAAAGGTGCTGTGAGGGCTGGAGCAGCTCTGCTCTGGAAACAGGCTGAGAGAGCTGGGCTTGTTCAGCCTCGAGAAGAAAAGGCTCCTTAATGGGAGACCTTAGAGCAGCTCCCAGTGCTTAAAGGGGCCAACAAGAAACCTTGCTGGGGTTTTGGAGAGGGGTTTTGGACAAGGGTCTGTAGGGACAGGACAAGGGGGAATGGCTTTAAACTGACAGAGGGGAGATTGAGATGAGATTTTAGGCAGAATTTCTTCCCTATGCGGGTGGTGAGGCCCTGGACAAGGTTGCCCAGAGAAGCTGTGGCTGCCCCATCTCTGGCAGTGTTTAAGACTAGCTTGAACAGGGCTTGGAGCAGCCTGGTCCAGTGGAAGGTGTCCCTGCCCGTGGCAGGGGGTTCCAAACCATTCTATGATTCTATATATGTTTGGTAATTAGCAATACAGGGGCATTTTCCTAGTTATTCCTCGAGGAACTGGCAATAATAACAGTAAGAAATAACAATGACAACAAGTAACATGAGGTCTATTAGTAAACTTTATGTACTACATAAACTTGCAGATGAATGCAGTAATCTGCACTCCAAGTTTGTAAAATTAATTAATGAAAAACTGCTGTAACAGCATTTTTGAATTCACAAATACAAGTATCTGGAGTTTTAAAAAGGTTTGCTTGGGGTTTTTTGTTTATTTTCAGGGAAGCTGTAATAAAGTTTCTATAACAGCTTTTTCAGGAACTCAGACCACTACAGCAAAGGTATCATTATATTAGAATGCCAAGAATTCCAGACTGAAGTTACTTCCCCTGAATTCTCATTTTGCCAAGCCACACCAGTGGAAGCCATGAACTTAACTGCTTCAGAACAAAAGCAGCATGCTTACTAAGGATTACTGAAACACATTTCCATTGCTATCCAGCTCACAAGGAGTATGCACTGCCGTGCAGTCACACCAGCATGACAGCCAATGGAAAAGACTGGGAATGTATCAAGACCTGCAGCTTAAAGGGATGAAATTCTCTGTATGTTTAAAAGGGGCGAAATAATTTTTCTTCCTTCTTTAAAGCTATGGCTTTAAAACAAACATAGAAAATGAACACTACATTAAAATACAAGTCAACCAAACACAACTCATTGCACAGTCATCTTCTCATACACACTGCAAATGTTCCTAGCCCAAACTCACCAAGTGTAATTATTGAATTCTGTGTTCTAAGTTGCCACATATATTGGTAAGGTTTTGACAAGGGGGAAACTGCAAGGATGGCCTCTGAGAGAAGCTGCCAGAAGCTTTCCCCGTGTCCGATGGAGCCAATGCCAGCCAGCTCTAAGAGGGATCTGCAACTGTCCAAAGCCAAACCCATCAGCAACAGCATGAGGAGGAAAGAACAGCAGAGCCATGTGATGAACTGACCATAACCCCCATTCCCTGCCCCCCAGCACTGCTGGGGGAAAGAGGCAAAGAATTTGCGAGTGAGGTTGAGCCCGGGAGGAAGGGAGGGTGTGGAGAAGGTGTTTTAATGTTTGGGTTTATTTCTCATTAGCCTACTCTGATTTGATGGGTAAGAAATTAAACTAATTTCCTCAAGTTGAGTCTCTTTCACCCATGACAGTAACTGGTGAGTGATCTCTCCTTGCACTTATCTTAACCCACAAGCCTTTTGTTTCATTTTCTCTCCCCTGTCCAGTTGAGAAGGAGCGATAGAGTGGCTTTGGTGGAGGTGTCCAGCCAGGGCCAAATCCACCACACCACGTTATTCTACAATTCATACATTTGCAAAGGCCTAGAAAAAACCCTAGTGTTCAAGAACTTCAAGAAAGCTCTATAAAAGTGTTTATGCCAAACAACAAAGAATCAGATATTCCACCCACTTCCACTTATCCAGAAAAGAAGGAAACCATTTGCCAAAACCAAATGGAAGCAATCTAAAAAGCTGGAGGCAACCTTACTATTTCCTTAAAAAAAAAAAAGAACAGAAAACCCAAGAACAAAACAGTTACATGAAAATTCCAGCTTGAGTGCGAGTACAGGAGTCCAAAGATCTCTTCTAATACTCATGATTTTATTGCCTACGTTGATTATAATCATCATCAGCCACAGCCCTAGTTCATCACATTTCATCAACATGATACATTCAAAGCTCTGGGAAATTTCTGCCTCTGCTAGTTAATCACTTCCAAAATTACCATGCTGAGCTGTTTCACCTGTTCATACAGCAAAACAAGACAACATTCTTTTAAACCATGTTTTGAGACTTAGAAGAACTTTGCACGCACTCTCTCTGTTAATATTGTAAAGTGGAAATAGACCCTCACTGCCATACCTCATGCAGAATTGAAGACCTACTCAGATGCAAAACTGCTGCAAAATGCTGGATGAGGAACAAAGAACTGACATTCTTCATGAGAAAACCACTCACGGAATTGCACTATCATACTAGGAATTTCTCTGTGGATGTATAGCACATCTTTAGTCATGACTTAGCTCAATAATGTTCTCACCAGAAAATTTCTCATCTCGTAAAAAGGCTCATCAATATTCCATGAACTCCACTTCTGCTAACAGATAAAATCCCAATGCTGACCAGGTTCAACAACACGACTTATTGAGGAATAGTTTATTTTTATTCACCTGGCCTTGTTACAATTTATAAAGGAACTCTACAATATCTGTCTGCAATTACATAGTAAAAAACCCAAATCCTAACTGACCTTACTATATGGCAGTTCAACAACAGCAAGGAGGAAAACACATCAGAGACAGACCAAAGTGGTTTATCTTGCCCTTTCTGAGGATTTAACAAAGACTTTCAACCTATATGAAAAAGGCTGTAGCAACCTTCCTCCCAGATTCTCTGCAGAAAGTACCGTTCCTAACACGTGTTCCCCATATTCCTCTACTGTTCTACTCTAATTCCTTTTCTGAAGCAGGGATTTATGTTAAATTAAGGGATTAATTAAAGGTTAGTTTATGCCTTATTCTGTATGTGTCTAAGAGGCAGGTTGGTTTTCTTCTCCATAGATCTGCCCATGGAGTAACAGGCTCAGGATTCCAGAGAAGGAATGAGATGTAGATCAGTCCTTGCTTATTTTCCAAGGGAAAAAGATGCATTGGTCGACACTATTTGGTTAGTGAACAATGGGAGCTTAGTTTATTACTATATACTGTTAAACATCAGCAGAAAAGCCCCAGCAAGTATACACACAGCTTATCTCTGTACTCTTGGGAAACGAAGAGGTCAAAAAGCACATCTGAATTCCTAACAGCCAAAGACGAAAGAAAAATGAATCACAAGGAACATGGTTCACCATGTACCACTTCTCTAATGAATTAAAAATAAATGAAAAATAAAAAACACAAACCACAAACCAGATCCCTGCATCTCCTGACCAAGTGGGAGAGTGATACAAAAAAATCCATGGGACTTTTCCAGCAAGACTACAATCTGCCACACAAAGGGAAAACAGCTGCACAAAATAAAACTGGAACTACATGCAAGAAGCTTCTGAACTAATTTGAGCAAAGAGACATCACAGCATTACTAAACTCACAACTAGAGACTGAGAGTTAAGGAATTTTTATATTTAATAAATTTGAAATATAATTTACTATTCAATAAAGATGAAAACAAGCATTTTCAAGTATCAGTGAGCAGAGCTTCACCACAACAGGTTGCCTGCTGGTGGCCAGCAGAGCTGACCGGTGTGCAGCTGGAGCAAAGCAGGAACCAGTGACAGAACTGGTCACAAGAACATCAGAAACCCTGCAGCATTCCTAGAGCAGGTTTCTGAGAAGGAGAGAGACTTCACAGCTACTGAAGACACCCTGTCCATACAACATTATTAAGGTGGTACTTGATACCTTAGCAGTTGGGAATAGGGTTTCACCCAGACATCAGGGTTACCCACGGATGTGTGCCATGTACAAGGCTACCAAGTACTACTGATCACTGAGGTGATTGTTCAGGGGTTTCCCTCACTTAGAAAAACCCACAAAGCACAAACATTTTGTAAGGTATCTCAAAGGGTAATGAGATAAGCTTCTACTTACAGGTGAAAATTTCTTACAACTATTGCTTGTGAAGCGGGAAAAAACCTTGTTCTGCTCCCCTTCCTCTACCGGTTTTCATTTGTAAGAAAAGAGGTATTTTTCAGGCTGAAAAACTACTGTTGCTGAACAGACACAAAAGGATCATTCTTTTTTAACATCTACATTAAGCTCACACATCATTCTCATTCCTTTGCTTGATTTTTCTGGGCTGAGGTGTGTCACTTATTTATATGGCTTGATCCATGCCTGGCCAATACTCCAGGTTATGAAGTGCTGGTCTAGAGCTCCTTGGAGATCAGTCTCCAACATATTTGGCTTTGGTATCCACACAGGGAAATGCACAATACACTTCACAAGAACAGGAATGCTTAGAAAGAGGGCTCCGGGGAACTGTAGTCTAGCCCCTCCAGCATGAGGAGGCCCAGG